TCCTCACGTATCCACACTCGGCCACACCCTCAACATTAGCATAATCTGCATGTTGAGAGAGATGCAGCCGAAAGGAATACAGTTTCCTCCAGGATTTAGATATCTCCGAGTGGAGATCTGGGAGAAACAGAAGACTCCTGGGGGCGGGACGATCAAGACCAGCCAAAAAACGCTCATCTAGTCGGCTGCGAGCCGGCTTCGGTTTCTGGCGCGTCCAGACCAGATCGAGCCACTTAGTGGCATGATCCATCACATCCAACTTATCCCGTATGCGCGGCTCGGAATGGCCGATGACGACTCGGTGCTCACACTCTCATTATCATCACCAAGCACATCAACCTCTTCATTTTCGTCACTACGAGTAGAAGAGCCCAGCAGCGCGCTATCAGGATTAGATGACTCCAATGACAGAGCGTCTGGATCCCATAGCGCGCTAGAGCTCGCAGCAGAAGTCTTTGAAAGATCCATGCCTTTGGCAAACTTTTTGACCGCGACCTCAACCTGCGATCCCCACGACCCGACCCGCGAGGAGCAGATGCTTGCCCCTTTCCCCCCGAAAAAAGGGATACATGTGATCAGAGCTTACGCATAGGAAATAATTCACAATGCTCACATTCGGCGCCCTCAAGCACCGACCGCGCGTGCTTCTCCCCCAGGCACATAATGCACAAGTCGTGTCAAAAACCTAGGACACAGAGGCACGCACTTATTGAAATGATCACCTGGGTTGACAGACATGGTAACACACTGCTCGCGACATACATCGCCTGAAGACAGCAAAGAGGATGACGTATTCAGCAGGTGCCCTTTTATACTTCTACTTCATGAACAGTCAATAGCAAATACTTAAACTAATAACAAAACATACTTACAGTCGCTGATTCAGAAGCGCCAGATTGTCATAGCAAAGTCGGAATTGACCTTAATGTTTTTTTTTTTATTGGTCTTATGAAGTATTCTAATTTGTTGAGATAGTGAATTGGTGGGTTTTTGTTAAATGTGAGCCGAAATCATCACAATTAAAAGAACCAAAGACTTAAACTACTTCAGTCTGTGTGCATTGAATTTATTTAATACACGAGTTTCACAATTTGAGTTGAATTACTGAAATAAATGTACTTTTCCATGACATTCTAATTTATTGAGATGCACCTGTATATAAAGCTTGTCATAGAAAAATAAATCTTGTTCATGTGTTTTATATTGTCTGTATTTAAAAGCTACGGAGATAAAGGAACCATTGCCTAAAGTGTTGAGCATCAGTTCCTGCAGCTCATCTGAAGATGACACCAGTTCATCCAGTGAGGAAAAGAAGTCTAAAAAGAAGAGCCGTAGAGAGAAACATAGAACTGGATGAGGTAAGAGTAATGTTTATTATTAGAAATGGTACATCTCAATTTAAATACTGTTAAGTCCAATAACTAGTCTAGAACAAAAGAATCCAATGAAACAAATAATACATATATTTCAAATGTTCATATGAGCAAAATGTATGCAAGTGTTTGTCTTCTGTCTCTGGTCTGACTCTTTTTCTAGCAAAGCTTCTACCCTTTTACCTTACAACATCTTTCCACACCTTTTTTTAAATATGAGGTGTCAACAAACATTTCTGAAATAACATTCAAAATCCTTTAAATGAACTATACATATTCAGCCCGTCTTCACAGAAATTGTGCATGCTATGTGATGAATCCTATGAACCCTGCTGTATCACATTTGATTTCTAAGGCCTCTAAACACTTTGCTAAAAAATCCTGCTGTACGCAATCTACTACATGCCTTCTGTTGTCTTATTGATAGTTTATACTTTTTAGCAAGTAAAGGGCCTTTTAGTATAATTGTAAAAAAATTTTCCCCTTCATTTTGAGAAAATCATGTTAAAATGATTCTGAATTGCCATTTTCTTCTTATTTTCTTACATAAAAAAGAATATTTTTGTATTCTCAAACTTTTCTTAAGAATGTTCCTATCTTTTTTCTTAAGAAAAGTAAATATGAAGTATGAGAAGCTTAATGTCCATCCTGTGTCCCTGTGTCTTTTGTTTTGTTCACCCTCGTGTTTCCTTATGCCCATATTTGGCTCATATTTGACTCCACGTCCAGCCCAAGGAGGGCTGTTGTGCTCCCGTCAAACCCCGAGAGGGCCTCAGATTCCGAGTTTAGCCCACGGAGGGCTCCTGTTCCTGAGGTTAGCCCACGGAGGGCTATTGTTCCTGAATTTAGCCCAGAGAGGGCACCTGCTACCACGTCAAACCCAGAGAGGGCTCCAGTCCCCGAATCCAACCCAGAGAGAGCTGCTGTTCCTTCGTCCAGCCCCGGGAGAGCCTCTAGACCCAAGATTCTCCCCGAGGATTTTTTTTGGGGGGGCTATATGGCTCTGGCCGGAGGGACCGGGCCGTTAGCCAAGGCCACGGAGGCCGATCCGCCATGGTCTCCGGAGTCCCCGATCCGCCCTGGAGGCCTCCCCCTTGTCTGTCCTGAGGGGCCTCCAGAATGCCCACCCCGTTGGATGTTAGCCTTCCGGGAGGGGGTGAGTAATGTCAGTCCTGTGTCCCTGTGTCTTGTGTTTTGTTCACCCTCGTGTTTCCTTATGCTCATATTTGGTTTTGTTCCTGTTCCTGTCCTTATTGTTTCATTATTAGTTTATTCAGTTCCAGCTGTGTTGATTAATTATCTAGTTTACTCCCTATTACTTAAGCCCTGTGTTGATTCCAGTCTAGCGTCCGGTATTGAACGTCGATGTTGTGTTTCCTGTGTGTCCTTGCCTGCCTTGCTTTACCCCATCTTGGAAGATTAAAGACTGTTATTTTGAGTTTAACCCACGTCTCCTTGTTCTTCGTTTCGCCAGAGAAGGCAACCGTGACACTTAAACATTAGCAAGTTTTTTCTAAGCGACTGTAAGCAGTTTAGATGTCAGTATTAGTTTTGTTATTTGAAAAAGAAATCTGATTAACTCATATTACTTCAACACTGTTACTCAGATTGAAAATTACTCATATTGTGTAGGATTTGGGTCATTTAAACCCACAGTGAGCAGCCAGAGATGACTGTGGCAAGGAACTAAAAACTCCATCTTCAATGTTTTATTGTCTTTGCTCATTAAATGTTAATTTAGTCTATTGACTTTTTCTGTGCAGTCATAAAGCCAGAAAAAAGTTATTAAACGCTACAAAGAAGTACTGAAGACTTTCAGAAAAGTGAGTCTGCAGCCTTCCATCAACATGAGTTGGACTGAGGAACTATTGCATCCACTGCTTCAATTGCAGAGCTTGCAATTGCAGATCCTGGTTTTTACCAAGAGATAAAAAAATAAAAAAAAAAATCTTCTTGATTTTTATTTTTTAACATCATTCAAAAGGTGTGATGCAATGATGTCTACTACTACAAAGCAAAAAATTGTAGAAATGAAACAAAATTATGAGCCTCTACCCTTGCAGTGTAGCTATAATTGAGGCTTGGATGATGCTTAATGTCTGATGTTTGCTTGTTTAAAGCAAACCTTTGCTTGCTTGTTTGTTTGTTTGTTTAAAGGTCTCTAATTTCACTGTTATTTTCTGTTTAGAATACAGAGCAAAAAAAAGAAGAAAAAAAAATGTGCAGAGTTTTCTTCTTATTAAGCCCCGTTCAGACTACACAATTTTTTTGTTGGTTACGACAGTCACTGTGTCAGATTATGCGATTTTGATTCATAAAATCTTGTCGTGTCATGAACAAGAAACATGTCAGACTATACGATGCTACCCGACCATTCATCGCTGCCGTTATTAAAGGCGCTCTGTCATCGATAGCGCGGGACAAGACAGAAGGTGCTATGAGCCATTGTAAACAAACAATGGCTAGCAAACAGCATGTTTTGCCCTGTCTTGTCATCAGAAAAGCCCAAAAAAGAAAGAAAACCTGACAATGGACACAAATCTGGATGGCATGAAGAGGATGGTATGGACTCTCAAAGAGAACTGAGGTAAAATAGTTTTTAATTTACCTTTTTTCACTGTGTCGCGGCAGTCCCTCATCATAAATGCAGGAGTATTGTTGCCGTAGCTCCACAAACATTTTCCTCCATTGTAAAATTACACCTAGCAGGACCGATACCATTGTCTCCCTTTCGTTTCGGCATGTTTGAAAGCTTGTACAAAGGCACTTCTGTGCTCCTATTGGCCAGTGTCATAGCTGTGATGGAACTTGTCGTGTAACGTAAAAAAAAAATACATTAAACATGCTAGTCTTTCTGTGTTGACGTCGTAAAGCATCGCAGAGGCGTCGTGCACTATGACATACTACACGAGATGAAACGATTGAATCGTGCGTCCCGACGCCCATTGTCGTATACGAATCCCCATGACACCCTACGTCAAGCAGATCGTGGCAAAATTGGGCTAAAATCGTGTAGTCTGAACAGGGCTGATTATTCAATCATGATAATGTTTACATTTTTTAAAATACAATATATGGCATATTATGTTACAGGATGTTATTTGTAATTTGTAACTAAAACATAATTTTTTCAACCAGCATAAAATTTCTTACAAAAGTCTTTCTGTATTTGTGTCCTTATTTTGTGACCTATACATGGGTTGCTTAACTTGCTGCGTTTGTTATCCAGTTATCTGTATTTCTATTTCTATTTCTGTTTCTATTTAAATTCTATTAAATTTCTATCATATAATTAACAGTCATTAACTTTATAGATCCTTTTTTTTTTGGTTGATCATAAAGATCAAGCAGTCAAATAGTAATAAATTGTAATACATCAAACATGAAACATATACATTAATTCATGCTGTTTTGAAGATAAGATCATTTCACACATACATTTCACACATACTAAAGACAGAATTGAATCTTGTCTTTAAACCTCCTCTAGTGTATTTGATGAAGTTCTACTCTTCTGAGGTGTAAATGACTCCAGAGACTCACTGATGAATATCAAAGAAACTCATTTCCAACTGTGGTCTCAGGAGAATCTGAGAGATGTAAGAGTCTCATTCTTTACCTTTTCCTTTAAAGGTATTTATTCACACTTTCAATAGCTTCCTGTTTTGAGTATTTTCTCCATTCATCTGGTATCTCAACATAACCCTCAAATTTTTTGTAGTATTTTTCCAGATCTTTCTGAAATCTGCACACAAACCACTTCCAGTAGGGCAGTTCAGAGAGATCAGGGGTGATGCTCCAGTCTGCATAAACTCCTCCTGCTCTTCTGTAATCTCTCCAGAGAACTTTATCATCTGGGTCATTGGGATAAAAATATAGATTGCTGCTTGCTACTGCTGATGTGCAGATATGAGTAGACAAGTTCGATGTATATATTCCATTCAGACCAATACTACGATGGTAAGGAACACTGTGATCTCCATCATGGTTTACTATGGTGTTGGTGCAGATGGCTCCACAGAATGGACACTGAACCCAACAACACTGACAGAAGTGATCAGTCAGAAGCTCATCTGGTCTGTCCTTACAGTCTAACTTTACTGGAAATGTCTCTGTGTTAAATCTACTGCTGATATCAGATATTATAGCAGGAAGTTTGTTTCTCAACACATCTTCTAGGAGGTTGAAATCATCAACATCATCATGTTTGACTCCACTGAGGTCTTTTTCAGAGAAAATCAGCTCATCTGAGAGCTGCTGTGTGAAACTCTTCAACCACAAACCAGCATCTCCTCTGTTCACTTGAACATGTTCAGTAGATTCATGTGCTGCTTTCATAATCTTCTGCTGCAGGAGTTTAATGTTCTCCTTCATCTTGGGTAAAACATTGACACTGAACTTCCTCTGTTCACTTGAACATGTTCAGTAGATTCATGAGCTGCTTCCATGATCTTCTGCTGCAGGAGTTCAATGTTCATCTTCATCTTGTGTAAAACACTGACACTGAACTTATCAGTGATGTACCGACTGACTTCATCTCTGATGAAACTCTTGAAGTGGTCTCTGGGATTATCAATGTAGTTCATGTATTTGTCAAAATCCTCCTCTTCTGCCAGTGCCTTCAGGATGTGTTTCTCCAGATTTGATCTGTTTCCATTGAGTGATTCACAGTTTGTTCTCATTTCATCTGTCAGATCTCTGGCAGTCTTCTTGTACACACTCTGCTCAAAGGGCTCTTTCAGTTTTTGACAGATGATCTCACCAAAAATGGCAACTGATGTTGCTCCATGACAGTATTTCTGGAAAATACTATAGTACTCTTCTCTCTTCTCAACATATATTGCTTCCTTGAAATGTATGTGTTGGTCGTTGTTCATCTTGTTTGATTTCTTACAGATGGAAAGAACCAAATCAATAAAGAATTCATTCTTGAACTCATATTTCACTGGTCCTTCCTGGTGTTCTGTTACTCTCTTCTTGATATAATCTATGAGTTTTTGAGTGCAGCTGATGTTGTATCCCATCTTTGAAATGTTAAATGACTGAATCATGTTGTCTGTCTGCTGAATAACATCTGTGACTAATGATCTTATTTG